AAATTTTGAATTTATATTTTAATTATAAAAAAAAGGGGGGACGGGAAATGGGGCAAGCTCGCGCCCCGCACCCACACACGGGGCACGGGGTGGGGCGGGCCCCCCACCCCGCTGCCATCTCTAATAATAACGAACGAGACCCTTATGCTTAGGCTAAAAAGCTTTTTGTTTTGTGATTTCTTTAACTCAAAGAGAAAAGAAATTTGATTAGTTAGAGGTTGAAACAAATTTTGACTTTACTTCTTAGATATAAGGCTGGAAGATTATAGATGTGGAAGAAAAAACTAAGTTTTACCTCTTTAAAGGATAAGTTATAGTTATCAAATTGTTCTTTGTTAGTGCTACTAAGAAGAATATTCGAACAAGTAAATCTACAAAGTCAAGCAAGAAAAGAAAACTTATTGGTTGATCAAGTTCACGTTTGATTTTTCAACTTAAATGAGGAATTCAAATTGTATTTGTCATATGATAGACCGCCTTACAAAATTTATAAATAGGCATTAGGATATGTTCATCATATATGTGTGTTTAATGAGTAAGTGCCAAAAACAATTGAGCACAAAGTGAGGATTCGAGAAATGTAGAGTTTATTATTGAGAAAAATAGAGAATTTGAGATATTTTGTAATTTCTATTTGAAACTCATCTTGTAATCCTCTATTCCTATTTTATAGTAAAATCGCATTATTTCTTGAGTAAAATCTTGGTCCAAGTTTTGCTACTTTTCATTATCATGGGCAATCATCCCCAACACGATTGTAAAGTTTTAGATTCTTTATAGTCACTTTACATGTTATGATAAAGAAATAGAAGGAAAAGATGAGAAATCAATATTGGGAAAAAGAGATTGATTCGAGCAAGGTATTAATATTGTAAGGTGCAATTTATCTAAGTATAAATGGTGTAGTACAAAACGAATGGAGAAAGAAACAAAGTGATAGGTATTTGTTGGAAAAGAGAATAGAACGATTGAGTATGTGATTCTATATTAACTAATTAGTCAATATTTGATATAATTAGTTTTAAATTTGGGTCTCTATCACTGTTTCAAAAGGTGATGTGGAGATCGAGAAAGTGAACCAATCAAATTAGTCTACCACGCGTAACTTTAAGTTGAAAGATTAAATATTTAAAAAATGAAAATTAATACGTGATTTTTATGATTTTTTAAAAGAATTACGTGATTTTTATGAGATGCTTATTGCATTATGATGAAATAGAAAGCGAGACACATGAAATTGAAAAATATCAGAAGTACTTGTGATTATACCTATTCTAGTGCATTAAGGGTCATGGCAGTG